CATTGTCTTTTCTATAGCCTCATATGCATGGGAAAGAAGCTGGATAATGAATAAGGAAGACAGCAGAAGAATCAAGGCATTTGAATTGTGATGTTGGCAAAGAATACTGAATATACCATGGACTGCTAGAAGAATGAACAAATGTATCTTGGAAGAAACACAACTGGAATGCTCTTTAGAAGTGAAAATGGTCAGATTTTGTCTCTTGTATTTAGTCATGTTATCAGGGTGGACCAGCCCCTTGAGAAAGTTATCATGTTTGATAAAGTAAAGGGTCAGTGAAAAAGAGGAAGACTCTTAATGAGGCAGACTGACACAGTGGCAACACCATTGGACTCAAGCATAGCAACAATTGTGAGGATGGACATGTCAGTGTTTCATTCTATTGTACATAGAGTCACTGTGAGTTGAAACCAACTCGACAGCACCTAACAATAACAAAGAATTACTTATTTGTAATCACAGTCATCAAGATTGAGTACCTCACAAATAGAACTTAAAGAAATATCCTTATGAAGTGCTTGCTTTATACAATACACTAGTTGAGGTACCAGGGGGTGGGGTGGAATACAGAGCTGTAGAAACCTACACTATAGCTATTGTATTGTGCTCCCTATTAAATGAGGAGATACAAACACAGAACGAATCCCATGCTCATGAATCTCTCTACTCTGCCCCAATGGTTAAGTTATTTTTCTGTTGTAAGACCAATCACAGCCAGCTTAATGTAGAATTATATATATGGCACCTCTCCACTAGATGATGAGAAACTTGGGATACAAACTGAAAAAACAAATCAGCTGCCATTGAGATTATTCTCATTCATGGTGACCCCATATGTGTCAGAACAGAACTGTACTCCAGGAATCTTTAATGGCTGATTTTTTGGAACTAGATCACCAGATCTTTCTTATGAGGTGTTTTGGGTGGACTTGAACTGCCAACCTTTTGGTTAGATATAGACCATCTCCTACATAACTTTGTATCTTTCACAGTGCCAAAAAGAGTCCTGTGCCTTTTCTGGACACTCAATTCATATTTGTTGAGCTCAGCCTTGCTGTCATAAAAAGGATAAGGTACAATGAAAGGTACAAGAAAGCATGAATTCATCCATTCAGATACTCAATCCAACTCCCTCCTTGTCTGTCAGCAGCTAGTTTCATGTGGACTATCAAGGAGGGACAAAGATATTAAAATAATCTTAGGATGCACACTGCAAAATAGATAAAAACTACTCAGCATCATTTTATCCTATAAGAAAAGAAGTAGCTTTTTACTGTGATGTCAGAAAATGTGGGATTTCCTTGGCCTTGTCACATCATTGGAACAAAGCACAATAAGTATCTAATGAAGACACTGTGTATTCTGCTGGGAATCATTTTCTAGAGAAAGGCAGATGGTATGACTCTGGATTTTATTTATTTTCTTCAGCAGTTTCAGAAACTTCTTCTCTTTATCCATAAATGCAAAACAGAGAAGCCCAAATAATCCCACTTTTTTTTTTTTCTGTCAATTCCTACCTAGAATAGATATCTAAGACAGATCCTTTTACTTTCTAGTGTAAACACAAATGTCAAGAAATATGAAGATCTCTTCTGCATCCTGTCCTCTTACCAGAGTTGCTCATGTAATTTGCCTCCTGAGAGTTGGTCAGATGTTTGCTCTAAATTCTCAGACATCATATACTTCCATAGGGCATGCTTATTTCTTTTCAAAGGAGCAGCACAGAGTGGATCCAACCGCATAGCAAAACATCCCATGACGAAACTTCCTGATTGATAGTGCTTGCCTGAACAGAGCTCATTTTCTGAAAGTGCACCTAAAGAGTTTTGTGTGGTCTCATCCCATCTCCTGTGACCTATTAGTAGCTTTTTTGACTGGGTTCCAGAATTCTGAATTGGTTCAGTGGCAGATTCATAAAGCTTTCTTTTCATCTTGACTACTGCTTTCAGAGCTGTCCCTCTCCCACAGAGAGTTCTTTTTCAAGTTATCCTTTCTAAGAATTTTTACTCTAACCCCTAAGGATTCAAGCTTTATCTTCCTTTTGTTCCTTTTCAACATCAATTAGTTTGTGAGGCAAACTGAGACAGGATAAATTTACAGTTTTGAACTAGGAATATAATTCAAAGCTGACATTGGTTTATTAGACCGCTATTTCTCTATACTTTACCCTTAAATATTTGCTTGCACAAAATACAAACATTCACTAAATGTTTGTGGAATAAAATTGAGTTGAATGAAATGTTTAGGAATAAGAAAAAAAAAAAGTCAAAACTTAAAAAACACAACTTCAAAAACCAAACTTATGGCTGTTAAGTCGATTGCGACTCATAGCGACCTCTCCTTGGGTTTCCAAGGCAGTATTTCTATCGAAGTAGATTGTCCAACCTTCCTTCTGAGGAGCAGCTCATGTGTTTGAACCACCAGCCTTCTGGATAGCAGTCAAATGCCTTAGGCATTACGCCACCAGAGCTCCCCAAAACCAACTAAACTAAATAAAATCAGCGCCTATAAACTGTAACAGCTGTTTTAATTTCCTTACTACTTTTGGCACATAACAACAACAAAAATATACTGATTTTAAAGACAAGAAAATAATTTAAGTCAAGTTGAGGGATACCTTAAACAGCAAGTGTTTAACTGAATCACAAAAATCTTTGTGTTCATCTGCTGTGAAGCTTTTATAAGGTTGACAGATTACAAAGGACCTGAAACAACCATCCCATGCAACAGTCTGCTAAGGTATCCCCAACAATGTAGGACTAAATTGTTGTTGTTATGTGCTGTGGAGCTGGACCGACTCATAGTGACCCCTCCTTGGGTTTCCGAGGCAGTATCACTATTGAAGTAGATTGTCCAACCTTCTGGTTAGTGCCTTAGGCACTATGCTACCAGATATTACCACCTTACAAATGAACAAAAGGAAAGCTTTGGAATAAAAATATTTTCTCCATTCACAGGCTATGAAACACTGTTGAGTAAACATCTTTGACCTGCCCAGTATAAAGACAATGACACAAATTGGTAATCATTATAATGACACTGGTTCTTTACTAATAATTTCTAGTTTGCTTATTTTGCTTGGGTATGAAAGGCAAAAATAGTCCCAAGGCACTAATATCAGCTTAGGTTTTAGTGGGAACGCTGGTGGCATATTGCCTAAGGCATTTGTCTGCTAACCAGAAATCTGGCAGTTCAAACCCACCAGCCACTCCTGGGAAGGAAGGTTGGGCAATCAACTTCCATAGTGATACCACCTGGGAAACCCAAGGAGGGGCCTTTATGAGTAGGATCCTACTCGATGGCAATGGGTTTGGTTTTGGTTTGGAGTGCCAATTTGAATAGCGTGTGTATATGCTTGGCATGCATTTCTATGGCCTTCGAAAAGAGTGCATTGAGCAGCAGCGTACACAGGATCCAGGAGCATGGGTCTAGTGGAGGATACTCCCAAGGATTGGTTATTTATTTGTCTATGAGCTGTTCTTAGTTGTGAAAATACACTTTCCCCAAGGATACATATTCTAATTCTTTATCATTTTAAAAAATTTCAAAGCCAGAAAATCACTTTGCTTTGTGGCTTCAAATTATTACATTTGTGTCTTCTGTTTTGTTCCCCTACAATGTACTATAGTTTTGTTCCCCTACAATGTACTATAGGAGCTCTGGTAGCATAGTGCCTAAGGCACTTGACTGCTAACCAGAAGGCTGGCGGTTCAAACCCACCAGCCACTCCTCGGAAGGAAGGTTGGGCAATCCTACTTCCGTAGTGATACTGCCTCGGAAACCCAAGGAGGGGTCGCTATGAGTCGGGGCCGACTCGACGGCAAATAACAACAACAACAACAATGTACTATGGCCTCAAAATTTCCTGATCATCTACCAATACTTAAATTTCATATATAAAAACATGTTTTTCTTTTCTCTTTTCTCCCTTTTTTTTCCAAACAGTAAGGAAATCAAACATTCTAAACCTATCATTTAAACATGGGTGCTTCTGCTCTAGCAAAATAAACAATGATTGACCTAGTTCTGACAAGTCAGTTTGTAAAACATAACATTCATTCTCAGTTTTAATTTAATGTTCAAAACTTTCCCTTCCACCTACCTTTCCAAAAATGCTTCTTTTAAGCATTACATGTAATCAGATCACAACAAATAAAAAGGTTTAAACTTTGTACAGAATGATGAATCAATTTTTCAAACTATTCCAAAACAAAGAAGCAAATCATTATGGAAATAATGAGTTGGCTTACAGATGGATAATCTACTGAAGTACTGAAAAAACCATACTACAATTGAAGGGATTGTTAAAAGCATCATGCATTCCTTTTAAAAAAGATAAAACAATTGTTGCATTTTGAATACTGTAGCTAATATATATTAGTGATTTTCAGCCATAGAAGGAAGACCGCTAAATTCTGGTGGTAGAGACCTATGTAAGCATGTTGCATAGTAATGTAAAGAATGCTATGTGTAGAGGAATTTCCTTACATCAACAAGTACTTTTAATACTATTTTTTCCCAAGCAGCATGTTTTAAGATAATGAATGTTGCAAAAAGAGTGATAAGCATTTTCCCAATTGTCAAAAACTCCTGGTCTTTACCCAAGTTACCAAGTGTTGAATGCAATTCGTGTTTACTGAATTATAAAATTATGCTCTGAAACATTTGCAGTATTTATGTTTTACTGCTATAGCCATATGCCATAAAATTCATATGCTTCCTGTATTTTTCCTTGCTGGTTGAGAGGCTGTTTGTAAGTCATGTTCTATTGAATGACTCATAAATTAAAGAAACTTCTAAGAAAACTATAAAGAACAAATATTTCCTTTTGGTAATGCTTTATGCACTAGGCTAGGACATTTTCCCCCCACAATATTTAAATGAATAATTCATTGATTCAATAGGTTAACATACAAAAAAGAAACACGATATATAGAGGGTCAAATATTTGATACTCACTGTAGAGAATAGTGCCATTTAAAGAGCTTGCTTTTATAGTCAAGTAGATGGTAACAGTTGGGTTACGTTCTTTCTCCAGGACAAATTTAAATTCATCCAGGGATGTCAAAAAAGGCAGTTCTAAGTAGGAATTCCCATTGAAAGATGGAACAAATAAACGTGCATCTAAAAAATTTTTAAAAAAATTAGAACATAGTATTTGCAATTATCATTTGTTTAAAAAAGTAACACATTTATAAATATTAGGCTCAACTTTAAGAAATTTAAATATACACTTTGAAGACGTTTATAAAATCAAATGATTAGCCACCAGGTGGTGCTAAAGGTTAAACAGCTCAGCTGATAATCCAGGCTGGAGGTTCAAAGCCACCCAGGGACAATTTGTAAGAAAGCTCTGGTAATCTATTTCCCAATAATTAACCCTTGAAAACCCTACAGAGCACAAGTCTACTCTGATACACGGGAGTCAGAAACGACTTCACAGCAACTAGGTTACTCAGAGAACAAGACTCAAAGCAACTAGTTTGATGTTTTAAATGGATTTTGAGGATCAACAACCATTCTGAAATTGTATGAAAACTACGTGTACCTGCATATGTAAAATCATAGTTTCCACCAGATTCTTATTCTGTGACAAGATTTGTCAACTCATTCAATTATACACATAAAATCAGTACATTTTATTTTACATTATTAGATCTCAATAAAAAAGTTTTTTAAAAAAAATCTGACATGAAAAAGATTAGAAAACTGTCATTGAGAAGATTTCATAATGTTCATTAATATTTACAAGTTTCCAATAATAGACCAAAAACCAAGCTCACTGCTATTGAGTCAATTCTGACTCATTGCGGCCTGCATTGGGTTTCCAAGGTGGTAAATCTTTACAGAAGTAGGTTGCCTGGTCTTCCTTTTGTGGAGTGGCTAGTGGGTTTGAACCACTAACCTTCTGGTTAGCAGTCAAATGTCTTAGGCACTATGCCACCAGAGCTCCTTCTCTCCAATAATACTTTCCAATAATTGTTAATAATAAGATATTTTACAGGTAAGTTTATTGGTGATTTTTACAATTATTAATATTTTAAAAAGTTAATCTTACAAACAATGTCACAAAATTGTGAGGCACATACAATTTGGAAAGTACTTTAATATCTATATAATTGATACATTAAATAAGCATAATACCTGAACTGCTTGAAATGCAACTTTATTTTTTGTCTCTCATTGGGAGGAATTTTTGTCTGATACTGGATGAAAACTTGGTAGGCCTCATGAGTCCTACTTTCTGTCATACAATGATTCATAAAATAAATATAGAGTTTAATAAATTTATTAACACTTAAATCTTCTTTCTAAGATATGATTCCGTATGTACTTCCCTTAACTGGCCAAGGCCTGGAGGTGACCGACACTTGCTTCCTACCTTGAAAGGCAGGAATAAAATTAGTGTCTGCTCCTTTTTTTTTTTTTTTTCCCTTACCCTTTCACTTCAGGCTAGCTGCAGTTTCTGTCCCTTCCAACTTTGAATGGGGATAAGGAGAATCAGGGAAGGAGAAAGGACACAATAAAGAACAACATTTAGAGCTGGCAATTGGACCTGTTGTAAGAAGGCTTCTTGGTCTCTGGCCTTGCAGATATTTAAAACTGAATGTTTCTCTTATGGGAGGGATATTAGATAATGTACAAGATGCCCAGTTAAATTTGAATTTCAGATAAGGAATAGATTTTTTTGAAGTATGGGTATATCCTAAAATTTCATGAGATATACTAAAAAAAATTCAGATTTAACTGAGTGTCCTGTATTTTTAATCACTGTATCTGG